CCCCCCCGCCTCCCCCCCCCCCAGCCCCAGCCGGCTCCCCCCCTCTCCTCTTTCCCCGCCTCCTTCCCCCAGTGCCTCTCTCTGATAGTTGACTAGTTGCTTACATCCCTGTTTGGAAACAAACAAAATTATATAATTTGGTTTATTTAAAGTGATTTTTTTTTTAATGTTACGATTTTGCTAGGCATATATAAAACATGCTGATGATTTGGTCTCAAAGATTTTACTTGAACCAGTTTGCTTAGTCTGCCTGAATTGAAGGTATTCATCAGACCTAAATCTATACTGCTTAAAATGTAGACACACCCATGGTCCCCAACACGGTGCCCGTGGGCGCCATGGCGCCCGCGGCGTGGGGAAGCGCCGGCCTCGGATGCCTGGCTATCGGGGGGGCCCTGGCGCCTGACAACCTCAAAAGGTTGGGGACCACTGAGATAAACCAAGGATTAGTGTAACTCAAACTCAGATTTGTTATAACGTAATTTGGTCTGTAGTCTCTTACATTAAAAACATGCACTTTTGTTTAAATGAAATAACAGGTAAAAGCCCTAAATATTTGTCTACTTTTTTTTTTCCTGGTTACTGCAGTCACTTTATTTTCTACCAATGTAATAGCACAAAATCAAAGTCTTTCACTTATCCTATTAACTGGAGGAGCTGCTTACAGTCCAGACTTCTCCTGCTCATGTCTCTGATAACTGCCTTGTCAACCCCTCCATGGGTGTGTTCCCCCTCCCCCATTACTAAACTTCTAACGTAGGTAGCTCAGTTCCCAAAATGCTACATGAGTCCTAGCTTGAGACTGCAGTGTTAAACAAGTGCTGCCTCTAGCACAGGGCTCAGCAACCTCTGTCTCTCCTGGAGCCCCAACTCAGCCTCCTTTGCTCCCTCCCTCACCCGCAGCAGGGACAACCTTACGCAAGATTGGAGCGTCAGCGCCAGCTTCTGGGGGTGGAGAGGAGGGATGCAGGAGCAAGTCCCGAGGTTCTGCACTGGATCCTGCATGCAGAGAACAAGTGGAGCAAAAAATCTCGGCGCGCTGCTCTTTTCCTTCCCTCCACATGGGGGAAACAAGCAGCCAAAGTGGCTCCTTGTGTACAGTTCTTTCGTGCTTCCCCTGTGAATCCTTCCTGGAGGTTTCCAGTGAATGGGAGAAGCAGGCGTGTCACAGGGTGCCTGCCACTTGGCATGCAAATAAGTGTCCCCAGGAGGCGAAAATACCGGACACCTGGCAACCCTACACACACTTGGCAACTGGGCCCAGCGTCCCTCGCTCCCGGACCTCCTGCTTACCTAGGGTTGCCAGGTATCTGGTTTTCTACCGGACAGTCCGGTATTTGGGCCCTCTGCTTTGTGAAAAAATTATGCTCCTAAGCGCGTTGTGGAGCCGTAGCTGGACTCCTCGTGCTTCGCCGGGACCGTGCGCGGGACAGGCAGCACCCTGGGATCTGCAAGTGCCCAGGTCAGTCTCGCTTCCTGCTGGCTGATTCTCTCCCCCCCGCTCTCCCCTGGAGCCGTAGCTGGACTCTCTCATGCTTCATCAGGACTGTGTGCGGGACAGGCAGAGCCCTGGGATCTGCATGTGCCTGGGTCAGTCCCACTCCCGCTGGTCGATTCTCTCCCCTCTCCTCCCTCCTCCCCCACATCCGTGGCCATT